GGGGCGGGGCTGGCTAGAGCGCAGTGACTTTCCATTGCAATTTTTCCTGAACCGGCTAATTATTTGTAATGGAAACTCCTTCATTTTGCAAAGCTGTTTGCCTGCCAGGTGAACAAGGAAGCCACTGGATATGGAGGCTAGATCTACACCGGGTCTCCTTAAGCCAAACGTGTGCCCCTAGAACAGCACGTTTTCTGGGCTGGTCCCACCTACTTCTCTTGTCTGCTCTGCTTCTTGTTAACCAGAGCACTTTGAGTCCTTATTTGTAATGGAAACTCCTTCATTTTGCAAAGCTGTTTGCCTGCCAGGTGAACAAGGAAGCCACTGGATATGGAGGCTAGATCTACACCGGGTCTCCTTAAGCCAAACGTGTGCCCCTAGAACAGCACGTTTTCTGGGCTGGTCCCACCTACTTCTCTTGTCTGCTCTGCTTCTTGTTAACCAGAGCACTTTGAGTCCTTCCACCTCTGGGAACATCCTGCCACCAGCCTCCTCTTTCCTTGACCTGAGCACCCAGATCCTGTCCAATTTGCTTTTCCTTATTTTCAGCACTCCGAGGCTGTAGGCTCAGTTGGTTCTTTGTGATTTTTTTTCACCCCCAGGCTTCCTAGTTGCCTTCCCCTCCCCATGTGCCTCAGCAGAATTCACTCGTCCCCCACGTGCCCAGACCCTGCACCCTGATTTATGCACCTGCCTTCCCACCAAGACCCCTGCACCCCCAGCCTGCTCCTGCACCCTCCCTCCCCCCAGGGTCTCCCACCTTCACCCAGCTCCTGCACCCTCCCTCCCCCCAGGGTCTCCCACCTTCACCCAGCTCCTGCACCCTCCCTCCCCCCCAGGGTCCCCCACCTTTACCCTGCTCCTGCACCCTCCCTCCCCCCAGGGTCTCCCACCTTCACCCAGCTCCTGCACCCTCCCTCCCCCCCAGGGTCTCCCACCCTTACCCAGCTCCTGCACCCTCCCTCCCCCCAGGGTCTCCCACCTTCACCCAGCTCCTGCACCCTCCCTCCCCCCCAGGGTCTCCCACCCTTACCCAGCTCCTGCACCCTCCCTCCCCCCAGGGTCTCCCACCTTCACCCAGCTCCTGCACCCTCCCTCCCAGGTTTGCATTGAGCGGAGTGGGCCGCAGGCCAAAAAGTTTCAGACCCACTGCCTTAGGGAAACCCATCTGCAGTCTTACTCCTCCCTGCTTCTTTCCCTCTGTGGTTGCAAAATTGCTCTCCAAAAGCCATTTCCTCTTACCATCGACGCATTCTTTCCCCAGCGCGGGCTGATTGGCTCCCAACCCCCCT